ATCCTGGACAGTTCTATGTACGATGTGCCATTTCATCTTGTCTCAATTCTGGAAATAGGTTTGAACTATCACCTTTAGTACCTCATATTGTTCCAATGATTGGTCCGTTGCATGTTTCTTTAAATGCCCGTGAAACAGTTGGTTAATTTTATAGTATAGAAAAGCTCTTGAATCCTCCCAAAACACTTTCCACCAAGCTTTTGAAAATGAAAAATAATCGCACGGAGCCAGATTAGGACTATAAGTATGGTATGGTGGCAATATGACCCGTTCTTCCCAACAGTACTTAGTGATGACTTTGATTTGTGTGATGCCCGCACTGCACTGTAGGCACGTGAGGAGACTTGACAAAATTTCACAATGCAAATACTTCCAGTTGAGATAGGCATGAGTTTCTGAATATTTTCAATGCTAATATGGGGGTCATTACGTGTATTAATAAGATCTTCAATAATATTAATGTTCGAACTTCGCGAAGATGTGTGCATCTTCAATGCTCGATTGTCCGGCTTCGAATGCTTCAATCTAGCGGTAAAATATTACGTTTGAATGGTGCTTTATTTCCTTCAACAGTGATTAGTTGGCTCCTTTCGTCTAATGATTAATATAATAAAAATTATCAAAAACAATATCGGTTCGCTCTTGTGGTGTAGTGGTTATCACGTCTGCTTTACACGCAGAAGGCCCTCGGTTCGAACCCGAGCAGGAGCATTTCTTCAGTTAGTAACGCTTTTTTACTTTTAAAAACAGCTCAAACTGGGCTTTAGCGAGCACCTTGTTGTGAATAAAAGTCCCTCGCGATAGTAGTTCTTTAACTTTTTGTACAATTCCTAGGACGCCTTCTCTTTCTCCGTACTCTAGATTTACAAATAGACCCACATCCCCTGGACAACCCCCAATAACATTCTTTCCATCATCTCTCTCTCCAAATCTAGATACATCTCCCCCTTCCCCTAACATAAATATATGGGGCTTTATTCTCTTATCTAATGTTACACCAATCTATCTCAGAAATTAAAATACGGTTAATATTAACGGTATTCACGTGACTACGAATATGCAAGTATCACACAGTCGAGAACATCTCGGGAGTAAAAAATGTTACCTGCACGCCAATTTGCAGATACGCGCTCGCAGCATCAAACACTGCACACGTTTTTAACAAATTGTCGTCCGGCAACCGCACCTTTTAATGTGGTGCAGAGACTCACAGCAGGGCTTACGGCACTTGACAATAAACTAGTATCGCGACAGCGACGACATAATGTTGAACGTTCAAGGGCCTCACGTAAAAAGCAGGTCGCATCACCGGTTCCCGAATTTTTACAACAAAACGACAATGGAGAGGAAGTACTTGATGCAGTGCTTGGAATAGAAGTACAAAACCCTAGTCAACGTGAGCCAGAGCTCTTATTTATTGCTGTATTCCATGGCAAAGACTGTGAATCTCGTTTGCAACCTCCACTGGATCTCTTCGACTACTAGATATTATTTTAAATTACCAATTCTCGAAACCATAGTGTACCCTTCCCCGCTCGCCTATTTACCAACGGATTTTGACACTAGGCGACAGATTTTGGCTTGTCGTTACCGTGTACTGAGGAAGATCGGAGAAGGTACGTTTTCTCAGACAGTATGTGCCGAGGACTTATATTATCCCGGACGGCATCTTGTTGCGATTAAGATAATGACTATTTCATACAACGCAATTGGTGTACAGGTGAGCCATGAAATTCTATAATGCTTATTATGAACATTTTGACATTAGGCGATTCACACTGTTTGTAACTTTAAGTAAAGCAAACTTTTGCGATACCTGAACGCCAAAAACAAAGAAAACGACACCCACATTGTCAGATTACTCAATACTTTTGTCTTTGAAAACCATTTTTGTCTTGTTTTTGAGTATTTGGGAGGAGGGACAATATCTATACCGCAAAATAACAGCGAGCAGGAACGATTGCATATGTTGAGGAAGGTAGCATGCCAGCTTTTAACGGCGCTTATGTACCTTCGGGAAATGGGTGTGATACATGCTGATCTTAAGCCTGAAAATATCATTGGTCTAACTGGTAATCCAATTGGCGACATGCAAGTTTTTTGTACTTGTTTGTTTACTTATTACAGACTTTACTTCCAGTTGATTCGTACAAACTGAAAGTAATAGACTTTGGTAATGCTCTTAGTTTGGATGATGTCTACCATTATTACGAAACATTTGAGATACAAAGCCTTTTATATAGAGCACCTGAGGTTAGTCAATTCTCAATTGCTATTTTGGTTGTGTCTCTCGATTACCGTGGGTTTTAAATAGGTTTGTTGTGATTATCTGAACAGGTACTCTTAGGCTTGCCATTTGGACTAGAGATTGACATGTGGTCGCTTGGTATGACCATTGACATTTGCAGTTTATTGCTGTTTAGTCTTGAGGTTGTAGCTATAGCTTACGCACGGAGTTATCACAGGATGTTTATTATGCGAGTATTGGTTAGGTTATCCCATATTTCAAAGTTCGACAACTGACGGGATGGTAAGAGCAATAACTGATGTTCTAGGGTATCTTCCTGACACACCTTACAAGAACGGCAAGTTTATAATACGCGGCACATTGGAAAGCGACAGTGAGCTCGATGACGACAAAACTCACGATATAAAGTCAGTGTACATATCATATCATCTTACAACGTAATATATTAATATTTGCCTAAACTTTTAATTATATTACTAATTAGGTCACGAAAGCTGCGAATAGCGCGCTTGTCCGAAATACTGCAGTCTCGGAATATCGATTTTATCAATTTCGTCAACGATATATTCCATTATGACCCATCTGAGAGGCCGAAACCTGTCGAAGCACTTTGTCATCGGTTTCTGGCACCTTTATTCCCTTATAAGATGCTTGTTGATAACTACAACGTATCATAGTCATTATTTCTACCAGTTGACAAAACATTTTTCTTCATCTTTAAAGGCTAAAAAGTCATGTCACGGATAGTCGGATATAAATAGTGAGCCTTAATTTATGAGATACAAAAATTTATACATAACTATTGGCTTGGTGTTGCTTGAATAAGTATCGTTTTATCAATGTCAGATAGATCGCTATGAGCTCGCATACCAATAACGAGTTTTCTGCGTTTTGAAAGTTCTATTGTTCGGTGTCACGTGGAATATGTGGAACTAAGCCACACCATTTGCACAACATACCCGCCACATAGCTAATACTAAGCCTTATTTTATTGGACAGCCACGAAAGACGGGATAGATGGACCAGCTTCAAAAACTGATTGTTCGCTGTAAAAAACCAAAGCTGTCTTTGCAGTGACACGTCGTTTCAAATTTCAAAGTATACAAATCAAATAACTAGCATGGGTATTGTTGAGGAATTTAGGTCCCGGAACTTTTCTATATATGCTCAATGGTAGGTGAGAGTGCAGTTTACATTTGAGTGTTGTATAAGATTATGTTTTATTGGGCATTTTAACTTACGTACTTGTCATATACTCTTCTTAATGATGATATAGGGCAGGACTTCTTTCTATACTATGTAAGTGGTTCAACGTTTTTATTAACTGGTATTAAGTTCTAACGATGCCTAACTGTATTTGTAGTGTTGGTTCTCTTTGGCATTCTGGCGTTTACTACTTTCGGTATTGCCACCTTTTTTGCAGTGATTGCATGGTAAATGTTTACAGAACATAAGAGAGAATTAAAGATAATTGGTGAAATGTGTTATATTAATCTATCTCCTAATACGCAGGGTGATTGCGTTTATCCTTGTGTTTGTAGAGGTTCCAATATTTCTAAAAATTTGCCCAACGAGTCCAAGATTGTAAGTATTGTGGAATTATGAGCGATATCGTTTGGTGTATTTGACAGGTAACTTAACAATGTTGCCATTGTAGCGATTCATTTATTAAGAAATTTAAGAATCATTACGTTCGTGCCGTTGGATATCTTGTGTACGTAAAAACCTGGTATTAGCAGTGATTACTATTTAATTGTGTACAAATCAGTTTCGGATTATATTCATTATTATGTTACTTAATTAATAGATGTGCTACTATATTGTGGCTATTTCTCATCAAAACATTTGTTCTCATTGCCCCAGCCATTACTTTGACGGCTGCTGGAATATTTTACGGTAAGTATTCATGAGAAGCCTCTACGGCATGCCAGAGATAATACGTTCGGCGTAATAACATTTCTCTTGGTTGCATCTAGGTATTGCTGCAGTAACTCATCAACCACACGCATCAAGTTCAATCACTGGTGGCACTGGTGTCAGTGGTATTGTTTAAACGACGATAAGCTCATCAGAAATTATTCACTTGTCAATATATGTATGTCTACACGTGCTTTATGTAAATTACACATTGTTTATACTTCCGAAGAATCGTGGCGAGAAGGGATGCAAAAACTGTTGAAACCACGCCATGAACAATAATAAACGCTTAGAGCAAACCGGAATGTGAATGAACCTTTATCCGCAGCCAACGGATTTATGCTGCGAACCTGAAAAACCTAATAAATATAGCATCTTGCGGTCAAAGGTCTCTCAAAACATAATTTACAAGATCTTACATAATCAATTGGTTTTACTTACTGCAATTACTCGTGAATGGTTTAATGGTAAAGACCATTGATGAGGACCGCAAATGCAATTAATACTACACAGTGAAATTCACTTTAACGAAGACATTCGTTCCACGATTTTGCTTCGTTAACCTGAAAGTTCGCTTAA